TACTTTCCTTAAGAAGTATTTCTCTGCCTATCACATGCCAAGGAAACCTGTAGTCTTTTATATAAGGAAAATTCACAGGAGACACAGGAGATATGATCTAAGCGTGATGCAATGCCAAAGCCAAATCAAAGCCAAAACTTAGTATTTTTTTAAAAAATATCTTCTATCACTATAAGACACAACTTACTTATGGAAAGTTTTGTGCTACTGATGATTAATAGAACAGGTGGCAGTGAACCACTATCAGAAAAGAACAATGTTTTCAAATGTGTCTTTCTTCATAATTGAGTTTCCCCAGATGTTGACATCAGGGAAAACACACTTTTTCTTGTTGCTATAAATATTCCACCATTCATATATTTAGATTCATTCAAAGCTACAGTATTTCCAATTTACAGCTAATTCTAGATAAACTGTGATTGTTTCACTGTTTACAAGTTTGCCATCTAAGGATCTTGCATACAAGTTTGCTTGTTGGTCTGTAAAAAAAGTACCTTCACACAGCAAGACATCAAAACGTAACAAACAATTCTATCAGAAAAAGAAAAGGATTTTCCCAAGCCAAATGAGAAAGTAATTAAGAACATGTATGATTGTTTGCTTGAAACTGAAATGCAAGATTTGAGAAAGTAATTAAGAACATGTATGATTGCTTGAAACTAAAATGCAAGATTAGATGGTAAAAAATGTATGATTAGGTGAGCACAAAATATAGGACATAATATTGATATTGATCAATGGTTGCAAATGTGGAAAAATAACATAAAGCTCACAAAATCAGTAAATTTCAAGGAGAACATATATAAGATGTTTTATAGGTGGCTTATGGCTCTGAAAAAATTGTCAAAGATTTATACAGAGGTGTCAAATGTTTGTTGGAAGTGTGAAGCACAAGAGGGAAGCTTTTACTATATGTGGTGGACTTGTAGATTAGCGAAACAGTACATACTGTATTCTGTTACAAAAAAATACAATACTGTGGTGCCCCGCATAACGGGCGCCCTGTTTAACGACGAATCTGCATAGCAATTACGTTTTTCCGATCACAATGCAATGTTTTTAATGGTAAAACATCGCTTTGCGATGATCGGTAAGCTGTTGCGCTTACCGATTTTCGCATAGCGATGTTTTTAGAACAGCTGATCGGCGGCTCCAAAATGGCCTCGGGTAAAAAAATGGCCGCCCGCTGTGTTTTCACGCCCATTCCTCGCTTACCAGGCAGCGAAAATGGTGGCCGTATGGAGGATTTTCACATAATGGTGAGTTTTTAGCCCCTAGGAACGCATTGAACGTGTTTTAATGCATTCCTATGGGCTTTTTGTTCCATATAGTGACGAATCCACATAGCGACGATTTTTCCGGAATGGATTATCGTCGCTATGCGGGGCACCACTGTACTGCTTTGTAATGTTCCACTAACCCAAGAATTGTTTTTACTGAGCATTATACCAGATAATATAGATAAGACAAAGAACTACCTAGTTATATATATAGTCACTGCAGCCAGAATTCTTTATGCTAAGAACTGGAATAAATCAGAGATACCAAAACAAGAGGAACTCATTGAGAAGATATGGGAAGCAGCAGAAATTGATATTCTATCAGAAGTGTGGGAAGACTGTCTAATGCAAAAGGGAACTGAACGATTGGATTTATTATATAAATGGCTCGAGTCACCAGACAGCGCTTGAATAACATAGAATTAAACTAAGATGTAACTGTAAGTTGAAACCTGGAGGGCAATCAAATTGTAGAAAGGTGAAAAGTCGACTTGATATTGCAACATGAACAAACAGATTGGATGACAGGACATCTTCTGTTCTCCTTCCCCCTCTTTTCCCCCCATATGCCCCTCCACCTTTTGTACTCATTACTTTATCCCTAATTTTTAAAAACAAGTACCCACTGGGATTATTGAGTGCTTGCTCATCCAGCACGCATGTTCCCAAGAATGGTAGTACACTAGCTCTTTAATTGCCTACTACAAATAAGTGAATGTTACACCTTTTGCCTTCTGCTTGTGTAACAAAGCAAGAGGATTTCAGACAGTGGTTTTACCGTAACACAGATGTTTAGTGAGTAAGAGCATGCCCAGACAGGAATATTGCTCACTATTCGGATTTCTTTTAGTACTGCTTTGTTCGAATCAAATTATGGCATTAACATGTGTTTTGACTTAGAGAGATCCATCCCAACCCTTTTTGAGACTTTCCCACTTCTTTTTTTGGCACAGCACTAGGGCTGCAGTTTCTTTGGTGCAATTCAAAGTGTTCTTAATTATCCCATTCTGTAGCCCATGCAGATAGTTAGTTTGCGCCCAAAGAGAGCTGTGGGCAGTATCATCTGAGCTGACAACTTTGTGACATATTTGGTGGGTGTGGTATTGAAAGGGGTGAATTGCCAGTGAGAATTGCCAGTGATGAACACTGCTTTTCCTCGCTGAGGAAATGAAAACTCTATTTCCGCCTCATCTTACTCCCCACTTTCGACCCATTGGCTGTGCATTGAGTTGTGCCGGATAGCTCAGAGGAAGTTGAAATCAACTTTTTGAAGAAATGATGACAGTGGCAGTGCATACCAATGAACAGCTGCAGCAAACCTCTGCACCTCTTTTGTTCTTTCCAGCCAGCCCTCACCTCCCCCTCACTTGCTCACAATCTGCATAAACAAGCCTGGGAGACAGAAAGAAAGAGTGGGTGGAGGGGGGAATTGCCAAGACTTGGCTCTTTGCTTTGTTTTGCTTTTGGTATGGACTAAACTTCACCAAAATAACTTTTAGTTTTGCTCCCACAGGAGACAGCCATCTGTTTTCCTTTCCATTTTGCATCTCTTGGCAACTGTGATAACTTTGAGGAATACGAGTAGCATTACAGTGCACGATCAACGCCATCCTCAGATACTATTGATGTAATTCTCATACATTCCATACTCCCAGGAAAAACTGAAGCCTGAGTGAATAAAACAGGGTATGCACTTTCCCTGTCACCCCCCCCAACAACTAAAAACTCATTCTTTTTTTAAAAAAAAAACCTGAACCCCACAATATATTGGGAAAGACAATGGTTGTCTGTGCTGGGATGAATGCCCAAACCCCCCCCACACACACACACACGAAGCAGAAGACATTCTCTCCATTCCTCTGTCAGGAATTTTGGGGTGTGGAGATGGGTCCTAGACAAGGCAGTCTTCCAGGTCAACAGTAAAGAGACTCACAGAGATTCCTTTCCAGTAGTGTATTTACAAAATATGTACAACAGAGTTATGTACAACAGACTAAACAATACACGGACAGCACTTTGAGCAGCAACTCTCCATACAAAGCTCGATATTCCACTACAGAGTGCAGCATTTATATAGTGTGAACAACCAATCCCTGGCACATCACATGGTATCCTCTCCTAGTCACTACATCATACCCAATACACATTTTGCATATTGCATCAGCTACATGTGCTGACCTTGTAGCTGCACACCTGTTATAAAATGGATTCCTAATAGAACACTCTGGTTCATGCACTCTGGTTTCATGAACAAAGAGTAAATTCCACATTATGGACCACATTGTCCTGACATCCTCAAAAACAAAACAAAAACAGAAAAACTGTAACTGCACCAGTGGGTCCATGTCAAGATTCAAACATCTTTCTCCTGATGATCTGCAAGTTAATCAGGATCTGTGCTATCATGGGTTGGAAAAGAGAGACAACAGAGAACACCCTTCCTTTATTTTAATATACTCCTGTTTAAAATTTATT